CAATTTACTTGTGAACATGATTTCCATGGAACAAATGACAATTTCAAGAGGAAACTACAATTTTTTGCCGAAAGATGTGTTATTGGCAAAACTTAATAACTTCGAGGGGACAATTTGGGGAAAAAAATTCTTTCCTCGTCAATGTATTATTTCTATGGTACAATAGATCATATTTTTTCCTGCCAACAGATCGAATTCTTCTAGGCATATTTCCGACGATCACGACACAAATTTAATTCCTGTCAAAGATATTAAATTTCCTTCTATCAAGTTGGTTAATTTCCCTCAAGTAAATTTGTTCGACTCCATCAAATATTCTCAGTACAGTTATAAATGAGAGAATTAGTGAAACAGCAAAGAGAACAAAGTTATTAACACATAATAACCCTTTACTTGGGTGAAAATGGGTCGTTTCTCTGGGTGTAATCGTCGGACAATAAAATTTTACGAAGTATAACTAATTCAGTGTCCCCAAGACAGAAAATAATCTCTAACACGGAGATGAAAATTACTGCGGCATAATAACTGCAGATAGTGCGTGGCGATAACTCTGGATACGGTTACTAAATTTCATCCTGACGGTACAGTAATTTGTACGCAGCTATCAACGAAAACAGTCCCCACATACACCAAAATTTTATTCCCTCACTGTAACATTTCAACTCGCACAGATAATTTTTACCAAACTTTTTCCCCGGACAATGGGCACCGCTAAGACGCCAAAAAAAGATAATTAAAAAACACACGGTTGAGGGTAAAACGAACACTTGAAGCGTAAAAGCTTCCATCCCTCCGAAAAAAACTTCTCAATCCTGAGAACAAACTTACCGCTCGTCTGACCCATTTTCCCTCTATCAATTGCAAACAAATTACGATTGCCTCTAACCCACGAACCTCGCAAGGCACTCCACTCCACTTACTTTTCTCTCCGCTAATTCTCCAACGACAAAAAAATGAAAATAAATGACGTAAACTCGTGGAATAATTCAAAAAGTAATTAGAAAAAAATGCTAAAACAAAAATTATGAAGAATAGGAATGCGCCGTGAAGACGAGTGAGGGGAGGGGAATTTAAAAAAACACATGGTCTTCTCAGCGCCCAAGTTAACGATAGTGGAAGTGTAAGTGGTAAACTTGTAAGTGGCGAAATAAAGTTGGGTCCCCGTGGCTGTGACAGTTTAATTAATATCTTTCATCCTCAAAGGAAAAACTTGGTAAACTCCCTCGACGCGCCTGAACCACTTCAACTTACCCCTTCCCCTCCATCTATTTTTTTTTCATCTCACGCCGTCTCCCCGACCCGTCTTTCCTCATTGCGCATCAAGCCCTGTTGGTATTCGCTGGCTAGTGGAGGTAAGCAGTCACCTAACTAACTCATCGCAAACGATTCGATCCCACAACCCTTTGCGTTTTTCCCACACAGTCCTCCCTCGTTAGTCCTCCCTGTCGCCCGTCCTCTTTGATTCCATCTCCTCATTCTCTATTTTTTTTCCCACCCCAGTAACGGTACAAATCTCTCGCTATTTTTGAGATAAAAAATCATGTAATGAGGTAGTATATTGCATCATTACTCGTCTCTGTGCCTGGTGACACGAGCCAGAGGAAGCGGATCTACCTCCAGCTCACATCCCTTTCTATTTCTTTCTCAGTCGAGCTGTTGGTGCATCTAGGGATGCCAAAAAGAGACACCTCCAGCCGGCAATTTCCCAGGGCCGTTAATACCCGGACTATTTCCTTCAACTCTTGGGAGACGCCGCCAGCTACCGTCGGCCCATCCGTCTCTGTCCACCTGACGATTTTCCCTTTCTCACGTTGGCTTGCAAGGCGGAATCCATTCGTATATTTTATCCAATTAGGGGAAAAATTGAATGACACTGGTAGGATATTACACCGACAGAAAAGGTGGATGCGAAAAGCAATTGAATGAAAAATACTTTCATATCTTGCCATTCGTTCGGTAAAAAAACGCATGGATCCCGGGAAATCGGTGACGTTTCCCTGCACCGAGAGAAATTTTCTAGAAAAATTCTAGTACCAGTACTGGAAAAAATTACAATCCACCGGCTGTGAAAAATTCTAGTGCTGTTAAGGTAAAATTTCTTAGTATTTCTGGTAAAATTTCTGGGGATTTCTGTGAAATTTTCACAGGAATACGGGGAAAAATTCACGTTTTCCCCAATAAAATTTCTAGTGCTGGCACTGGAATTTTTTCCTGGCAGTCACTTTGCGCCTCTTTTCCCGTGCTAGCACGAGAATTTTTCGAAAAAATTCCCCTCCGTTTGAAAATGACTCATAATGTCACTAAAAATTCACCGTGGAGTGACAATTTTAGAAATAGAATTGAATGCTGATAGCGCCAACCAATAAAATTTCTGATTGTTCCGTAAACCCCGTAAACATCCATGTTATAGTATTCGGTATCTATTCTCATTTTCCTCAGCAATTTAGCTGAACTTTGCTATCACAGAATCGAGAAAAGACTTCCGTTTTCATGAAAAAACTCCCATAAATATTCAACGAAAACCGTAAAAATTATGGATGCTTTAAAGATAAATCATACAATATTGATTCATCTCTTTCTTCCAGATCCTGCTACTTCACACCAACACATCCGCGTTGAACCCGTCAATTATCCTCCATCCTTCAACCTCCGAGATCACCAAAAACATTGATAATAGCTCACTTCCTCATAAATCTTCACTTCACAAATTTACTTAGCGAGCCCCAAAAAAACGTAAATTCCTCTAAAAAAAAAGGTAAATTTTTGTCAATTGTTCACAAAACAATTACCAATAAATTGATCAATATTTTTCAAAAGTCAGTTCAACTGTTTAAAAAATAAAAAACTTCTCTCCAATTTCATTTCGCGTGGTGACAATTTTATAAACAGAATTGAATGCTGACTGCGCCAGCCACTAAAATTCTCCATTGTTCCATAAAACCACGCATCTAAGCAATAACATTCTGGATGTATTCCCATTTCCTCGCCAAATTAGCGGAACTTTACTGCAATATGGCAGAATCGTGAAAGCCTTCCGCTTTTGTAAAAAAACTCCCATAAGTATTCGACGAAAACCGTAAAATTTATGGCTGCTTTAAAGATATACAATATCGACTCATCCCTTTCTTCCAGGTTTTGCTACTTCACACCAGCGCATCCGCGTTGAAACCGCCAATCATCCTCCATCCCTCAACCCCCGAGATCACGAAAAACATTGATAATAGTTCATTCCCTCATAAATCTTCACTTCCCCAGATTCACTCAGCGAGCCAATCGCCTTCAAGCATCTCCAAACTTCTTAAGCCCGTCCAGAAAACCCCTAAATCCCCTCATTCAACCTCCACAATTCCCATTACACACAGCATAATATTAAAATAATGAACTCTCGAGGAAACAACCGATAAATCGAAGGCCCTTTAATCCAGTGGAAAAATAAATTTCAGGGTAGTGGACGCCAGGCCGATGAATATCGAATGGTTTAAGTTAGCCTCTTCCTCCCGCCCCGCCCTGCCCCACAATAGAGTTTGGCTATTAAATAGCTATTAGCCCGATTAAAATATTCGATAACTGCCCTTTCACACTTCACCATGGATGGTACACACACTGGACCCTGGAGTTCGTGCAACATCGAAAATCCAATAAATAATTATTTCCGATTATTCCAAACCACGCTGGTGGTGGCTCTCGAGTGTACGTTATATTTTTCACTCTCATATGCAACATTGTATCATACAATATGACGGGAAGGGTTGAAGGGACGAGTCGGGGATGAGACTAACAAGGGAGAGCAATGGTCTCCAATGGACAGCACTAAAAGTTCAATGGGTAATGAATCACATCACTGGTTTGAATCGTTTTTCTCTTTCTCACACCGACTCTTGCCAATCTGTGTGTTTAAATACCTCATCCCTCCGCAAAACACATGCACTCGAAAACACTGCAAATGGTTTGAATCGATTTGGTGCTTTAAATTAAACGCCCCCTTGAATGGACAAAAGTGTTCGCATAGTAAACTCATTTCGCTTTACTTGTAAAATTAAATTGAACTAATTGAAACAGAGTAAATATGGGTGCGCCCATATGGAGAGGGTCCACTTTGTCGCACCACTTCCGAGATATTCACCATAAATGAATGGATTAAACTAGAAGAATTGAAATACCACTCGATTTAGAAGTGAGAGAAAAATAAAACTGCAAACTTCATAGATAATTCCCTTAATTCTGATTTTGGCCAATCAGAGTGCAGTATTCGGGATCACGTGATACCTCCACAACAGTTTTATTTTGATGCTTCACCAGGTTACGGGTAAAACGTGAGAGTAATTTGTGCCAAAACTGTAAAACTTAACCGGAATCCCAATGAAAATTATCCCAGTGAACGTGAGTGGTGCTTAATACTGCGGAATTATTCACATAGGAATTCTTCTTTAACAAAGAATCTTTTTTTTTTAATCAAACGCGATATAGTGAAATTTCATTTCGTCCGCCTCTATGTCCTTCACATGAGTGCCAGAAAAAATACCCCACCGGTGCGGCAGATTGTACTGCACAGGGAGGATAATTTTTGCATCATACGCTGAGAGAAAAATTCCTGATATGTAGATCATATTTACTTGAGAGAAGTAAATTATTTTCAATGGTTTAAATCATGGATTACATTTCGGTCCACGATCACCCATCGTATATTAAAATTTGCCACGGTTTTGCAGATAATTTTTGTCCACCGTTTTTCTCAGTGTAGATTCCCAAAAATCAGTGACATTTCCTAAAAATCAAAACTTATCTCCGCTCTGATCTTCGATGTCGAAGTTATTTTTGACACTAGTCATCTGGGGTCAGTGAGAAGTGCAGACTTCTCTCAATATCACTACTGTATACCCAACTCTAATCGCCAGAGTGGCCCCTCTTCACGTGAAAGCATACATATAAACTACCTAAATTGTCATATGTACGAGCTGACGTGAAATTGAACAATATAAATGATAAAATGGTGCCCGTACTATTGTCGAGTAAAGTTGCGGTGTTTTGCTCCGACGAAAAGTCCTGGTGGTGAACGATGTCGCTCGTAATTGCCGCACCGACATTGCTACAGTAGTCCTCGAGAAGTACGCAGCACAGTAATAGCCGTGCCACCCTCATTCTGTAAAAAAAATAAGAGAGAAATGTTACAAGGGAGATGAGAGAACAAAAATAAGAAAAATTGAATGAAAGACGGGGCGGGACAAAGGGCTTTTAATGTTTTAACCTCAACTCGTGGGATAAATAAACGTTTAGAGTACAGAAAGATTGAAAATAGAAAAATGGAGATAAAAAATAATCTGGAGAAATTTAGCGAGCATTAAGGGACACATCAATGTGAAGCTCATTTAACAGTCGGAAGCCGGGGAATATAAAACGTTGCGATGTGTTGGTGCATTTTCGCATTAAAAGGGGAGATGACGGGTGGAAAGGTGCCTCTTGACTCAAATGTCTAATGCGGAAAATTAAATGAAATGCGTATCGCTCGCAGGATGCACATAACTTCGCTCTTAATTTGAGTTATTAATTTTGTTTGAGAATTTCCTCTCTCTGATGTTTAAATGATATCATTGACTTTTACTGCCGTTACACCCTTTGATGCTGGATCATTTTAAAGTTACACAGGTGTAATGAAGGATTAGATTGCATTACATTTCCAATGAACTGGGGGCAATTCACTTATCGGTATTATTGAAATAGAGAGGTTATCGTGCTGGTAATGTATGGAACACAAGATGGAATCTTTTTGTTAACCCGTGAAATCGATTTATTCGGGTATTTTTATATCCCCTACCTCGGCCCTTTGTTCGGGATAAAATTCAAATTTGAATTCAACCTTTTATCCGGAATATTCCGTGTCAAACGAAATTTTATACGAAACTTGTTGGAAATCGTGTGAAAAGAACCTCCTGTTACGAATTTTGATAAAGTTTTTTATGCTATACATCAATATATCGATGGGACGAGTACTGATCAAAAGTTTACAGAATTATTTTTTCTATGACGAAAATGTGCAGCGGAAAATTAAAAAAAAATCACTCTGGTGTGGGACGAACATAGTGTCTCGCGAGAGACTTCACGAGACATCACGAGACAATACTTTGAAGGGATTGTCTCGGTCTCAGTGAACACGACATTTTTTTATTTCATCTGTTTCGAAATACGCACTATCGACTCCTCTTGTGATGACCCGGAGATGATTTATTTCATCTCGATTTCCATTTTTTTCGCGTTTGTTATATGTAGAAAACCGAAACAAGACAAACCGAGACAAAAACCGAGATTTTACATTAAAAAACAGGAAAAACTTGAGACCGAGATGAGACAAATTGACCAGAGATAGCCATAATCATAAATTAGAATTAATATTACTCTACAATTTTTAATTATAAAATTAATCATCAGTTAAATATTCAAATTCCGAATGAATTTGTCAATTAATAATTTATATTCACATAATTCATAATTATTTACTCAATATATAATTGATAATTCCATGTTATCAATCATTTACTTCATCTTCAATTGGAAATTTCGATTATCAATTATTCGATTATTTTAAATTTCGATGATTATAAGTAAACCTCAACTTCTCATAATATTGAAGAATCCAATGATTGCTGGCAACCCCTGAAACTGACTCAAAGTCATCACGAGAGGAGTCGATACTGCGTATTTCGAGACCGAGACGAGCCCAAAGATTTCCATATTCATTGTTACCGAGACCAACTGTCCCAAGTATTGTCTCGTGAAGTCTCTCCCGGCATCACTAGACGAACATCTCCATCACAGAGAGGCATCTATCAATTGTGTCCCTTTGAGGAAACAAACGCTTTCCCCTCATTTTTACATTTTTAATCTTGAAAAGCCGTAATTTTCGACCTTACGTCACAACCGAGAAAAAAAATGATCTAAAACCGTCTCCTAAAAGATTCCATGATGAATTACAGTAGGCGCTTTAATGCACTCCCTTTGTGTCCCACACGAAGTGACTTTTTCGTCCCAACTTTCTTGATGAGTTTTTCCGTTGAAAAAGAAAGCCCTGAAATAGTTTAGAAAACTCCGATCAACTCCAGTAACCGAATGATCCAGCGCGAACTGCTCCCCCCGGACATCCCCGAATACACTCGCCGATGCATGAATCATATCCACGAAAATACTTCCCAATTTTTTTTTCACATGCATCATACACAATAAACCCTCAAGAGCGATGAAGTGCAGCCAAACATTCTCATTCTCCCGCGCGACGGAGGGATAATATCCTCTTCGCGAATTTTTTCTCTCCCTATTTTCCTTTTTCTCTCCCTCCGTTCACGGCGAAAGGAACTGGAAAAACCCATTGGGATCGGCAATCGGGTACGAGGGTGAGTTTTATCGGCTTGGTCGTGCGCGGCACTTCACTCTCTCGTTGTCATATACATATTACGAGTAAAAAATCTGAATATCTCCTCTCTCGGGCGCATCTCTGGTCGGGTACCGATAAGTACAACGGGGAAAAAAACTTCTCCCACAAGAAAAAACGCCCTCCGGAGAAGCGGTTTTATTACGCTTTTTCATCAGCCCGGTAATCGGAAATAGATGAATCCATTTGTGTCTGGACACTGAAAATAATTAGCCTCCAATTTGTTGAGAGAGAATCCCACGAATCAGTCTCTCAATTCTGGATTTTTCCAATGAGATTAACGTCTAAAAACACACCCCCTCTCCACCGCCTGAATTTACCTCGTGAAAGGAGTGTAGCATTATAGTTGACTGACACCGTCCGAGAGTGTCATAAATGACGCGTTTTAACCGAAACTCAACAGTAACTTATCTCACAGATTGAATGGTCTCGTGGTTAACCGAGTTAACGTAATGACAATCAAGCCTCTCCCTTCGAACGACAGACGCATCCCCGGGCGTCGAGACGCGTGTACTGATGTGTCAGAGGCTCTCGGCGCGACGAGAGACGCTAGCTCCATTGAGAGTCAGCCCTCCCCAACACCCATCGCGCAGGTCTACACAAAACAACTCATTGGAATGGTAAAGGGCATTACTATTAATTACTCACGCCCAAACAATCGCTCAACTAATTTCACATTTATATCAATTTATCTTTCGCTTGATTTCTCGGCTCGTCAGTCTGGTCTGTCTCATTTGACCGCGCGAGACTGGTGGGATGTTGCATCGGGTGACAATGACACTTTGGGGAAGGCTCGACACTGACTCGGTATAAAGTACTTTCCCAATGTCCAAAAAGTCACTTGCATTTACGTTGTAACCAGCTGTCAACGGTCACTTGATATATCGACAAGGCGTTTCACAGCTACAAAATGATTTTAAAACGTATCGACCTATTTTTACTAACCCCACTGCACGCGAGCACCACTATATATCTTTCGCAGGGGCATCCGCACACGATATGTATTTTTTTTTCTGTTTAGGTTGTTTCAACGTTGAAGCGTTACATGCGCGCAGAGTTGTATCGTGTGTAGGTACCCTGAAAACTATTTTTTTCCACTAGTTTTCTGGTGCCTCTTATAATGAGAATACATTGATCGATATACCGATATCAGAATATCGAACATGCTGCCTGTGCTGAGCGGGAGCATGTAAATTTTTCATTTCAGTGGAGTTTTGTTTTTTAGGGCGTTTTTTTTAATTCTCGGGGAGCTTCCAACAAATTGTGCGAGTGTCCAGTACAGGGGAGATGGATGTAAATGCGCATTTTTGCATGGGTGGGGTGGATGGAGCGGGTGTCTGGCACATATTCGGTATTTTGAAATTATCTTTGTCGAGTTGTGGTTGGGGAGCTGTTTATTTGGAGACGGTCTGCATGGGTGGGTTCGTTAATGAGTGTGGTGGGGACGTTATGGTGGTTTTATGGCGGTGGAGGTGGGGAATTTAATATGAGGGAGGATTTTCTTGGATTGAAGATGTCAAACTTCATTCGAGTATTTACTTTAGTAGAATAAACTATTTGTTTCGGGGTGCAGTATTAGATCGTGATTGAGATTTCAGGGACAGTTCAGTGATCGGAGAGAAAAGTTGGGGAAAAATTATATAAATGTCATTGAATAAAAAATACTTTTTGATGAAAATATGTTACGATTTTTTCGGTGAAACAAATCACATCTGCGGATAGAAAAATCACACTTTTGTGTACTGGAAAATTTGTCGCACCCGGAAGGTATTTTTTCGACACCGATGCGAAGGATATGGGGACGGGCGAAAGTGAAATTGGATACAGCGCTAGGTAAAAAATTCCTTCATTTCTATACATTGGGTCATTAATAATTAAATAATTCCGGGTAAATTTTACAGTTTCAGGACAAATCACTTCGTCTCGCATTTTTTCCCCCGATATAGAGTGAAAAGACTTAAAAATGAATTTCACTCGACAATTACTTCATTTGTTTGGTGATTTTCCCCAACTTTTTTCTACGCGTAATAATTTTCAAGAACATTGAATTCGATTTAAAGGGAAAAAACGAAATTTCACATTTGACTGAAAGTTGAACTGAATACTGGTTCTTGGCCCCTGTGGCAATGAAACGGAGAAAGTGCCGCAGAAAATTCGATGGAATTCCAAATTATTGTACAGCAGGAAAGCGAGATAAATGTGGTTGCGGTCAACTAATTCCAAGGAATCATTGACTGAAATCTGCTCGCTTCCACTAATTCCTCCATCAAATTGTTAATTTTCAAGGACTGTTACTTAACAAAAAATTCCGAGAAATGTGAGACCAAAACGCTCAATACCTTGCATTCCCGTTGTTCTAGCAATAAAGAAAGATTATCAGCGCAATAATTAAAGCTATAGCCACATAAATTTAATTGTTTGATGTGTCCGCCATTAATTACGGGATCAACAATTTATATTCCCATCAATTCTCGTTAGAAGCAGATAACTGCAGCTCGTCATCAATTCTGTAATGAAGTAGCAATAGAAACGAATAAATTCGCTGGATTGTACACCGTACCCTCCAGCCCTTGCTCGCGGCGCGTGGATCCAACGGCCATGGGCTGAGCATCACTCACTCTTCCTCATTCTTCCCCACTCCCTCTTCTCATTCCATTATGTTTCTCGAAGATTGTTTGTTTCCTCCGTTTTTAATACTTGAACTCGCTATCTTGAGATTCTCTGGATACAGTCATATTACTCTCAAGTTGGGTCGGTTGGACCAGCGATATCTCTACGGTTGAACTGACTTTCAGATGTTGGAGGTAAGTGCTCTTTTTCAGCCGAGGGACGTTGCGGGGCGGTGAGGGGAGGATAAACACTGGGACTTCCCCGGGGTTGAGTGCAGGAAACAGGGGAGATAGTTGCCGAGAGATTTCTATGGATTTAGGGTGGAGATATCAAAAGATCGTTAATGGAGATGGTGTTATTGAAACATTTGTTTCGTCATTTGCACCTGAAGTAGGCCATTCATCTTGTACGAGCGTCAATGGTACACGCGGTGTCTCCGGATGCAGGAGATGATGCTGAATAAACTCGTTTGTGAAGACGGCATGTGAGAAATTAGGATCTGCGGAGTCAGTTTTAGGGAGTGTAATTAGTAAAGTTATGTCGGAGTTATGTCTCAAGAGTTCATCCTCGATAACATCCATCGCGAGTTTGATGGAGCCACTTCACATTTCTAGAGATGACACATCAAATCACAGCCATGCAATCTGCTATTTTCATAACCTTGGGATCGTGAACATACCCGTCAACAGTCTGTTTGTAGTACGGGAAAGTACAAACTCCATCGGTGGGTATTCCACTGGGGTAGGGCTGATGGTGCTCCGATAAATTTGATTGCAAGTCAGATATCATCGGGTGGATGAAAACGGTGGATTGCTTTTGTAGATAGGCTGATCTGTTTCCTAGAGCACGGAGAAAAAATAGCTTTTCGTTTCCGGAGCGACATGGAGAAAAATTCCCGTGCGAATTTCCTCAATCCTCTCGTACGGATTCATGTCGGTTTTATTTTGATCATTTCCTCAACACGGAACAAATATAAAATTATTTTTTACTATGTGAACATATAGGGGAGGGTGGGGTAAAATGGACACTGGACTTTTTTTTAAATTATTCATAACTCGGAAACAAATTTATCAATTGAGCTCAGTTTAGGTTCTTCACAAAGGGAACGAATTGATCTTTGCAGTGAAAACAAAAATATTAAGTTTCATCAAAATTTCTAGCCGTCATTAACTAGAATAAAAATAACATTTAATTTGACACTGGGAAAAATTCGGTCAAGATAAATCACATTTTGAAGTTACTTTGGTCATAGTGTATTTTTTGATTTTATACTTTCCGTGAATTCTAATTTTTATCAATCAGAGTGCAGTAGTCGGGGTCACGTGATACATTCGCATCAGTTTTATTTTGATAATTCACGGGGCTACGGGAATACCTTCAAAATTCATCGGATGTTTCCCGGGAGCTTTCCTGCAAAGAAACTCGTGCTGCGCACTCGGGATTTCCAGCTTGCAAAACTTGACACTTTCATTTGTTTACAACGAAGCGAATTAACGAGGAGGGTATATCATTTTCCCTAAACCAAATAATTTCCCTAGAACTTATTCAGTTTTACCAATAACCCAGTTTTTGGGATGCAAATTTATGTTTTCTCTTGGAACTATCAATCGTTCCGAGGAAATTATAAGCGTTTATTGGAAAAAGCAGTACACTACTCAATAACATTCACTTGAGATAGCCTCATATAATTCTCAGTAAAACTAACGTATTTACCCGAAGGGCATAAATTTCTTACGGGAACATTCATTGCCGCGGAAATTATCATGTCTTGGTGGAGACTCTCTTCCGTGTCTACAACTAAATGATTCAAAATGCCAAAATACTTTTCTCTTTTTTCTCTCAGTGTGAATTCCAGAATTTTGCACTCGCTGTATTTTACAATCACGAATTCGTGAACATTGGGGATACACTGTTTGAAATTTTTTGAAATTCCGTGGAAAATATTGTAGTAATTCTCATGAGAGTGCCATGGAATTCAATTTCGAGGAAAAATAATTATGAAAGTTCAAGTTTTACCTAGAATTCAAGGAAATTCATGAGTTTTGAGTGGGAGTAAGACGGAAATTTCACAACTTGATTGAATTTTCAATGGAACATGAGAATTCAGAAGCAAAATAACACGAACTTTCAATTTTTCCCTGAATTTTCCAGATTTTCATGGAATAGTTGAACAGAAAAATCCAGTATTTTATTGATTGTCAGACCATTCGAACAGAAAATCAATGGAATATTTGATTTCTCAACAATAATTTCTGAAATTCCAGTAGAATTTAAGCATGATAAAAATTTCCAGGATTTGACACGAAGATCAAAACTTCTCTCTCTCTCTCTGTGTTGACATTGGGAGATATTATGAAATACTGCAATAAAAACCAAGTCCATTCGGATAGCTTTACAGCCTCCCAACCGATTATCCTGAGTGACTCGTACGGCACTCGCTGAACGTGTCATCATGGCGTCTAGGTCATGTCACTCGTCAAACGTGGAGGTGTGATCCGAGCGTGTGAACTCTGCGTGTGGACTCACAAGTAGCTACAGAAATTGACTCTCTCTTGTTGACTAACGAACTTAAAATGCAGGAAAAAGAAAAATCGTTGTGCACGTAATTTAAATCTACTACCATCGGATCATATCGACCTACAATATGCAACTGATTGCAATTATAATGTCGCCATAGAATTTTTTTTTTGTGAAGGACTTCAAAGAGAGGCAACGATGTATAAAATTACAATTCAACCAAAAAAAGCAATCAGTCGATAAATTTAGGTGGAAAATTGATTAATAGGGGACGTCGTCGCTGATGGAATTCCATGTAAACGATTCCATTTCCGTATTCCATTTAACGAGACAGCACTGTTAAGTTGAAACTCTGATGAAAATCTAATTGA